ACCAATGATTTCTCATGCTGAAAATATGATTTACACTGAGGGCTGGAGTGAGGCAAGAAGAAACAGAGGCTTCCCAATGGAGATAAATGTGCTCGACAGAAAGAAAACAACAATATAACATTGGAGGAGAGCATCTTCACATGCATTTGTTGCAATTGAAACTGTCATATATATATATATATATATATATATATATATATATATATATATATATATATGAAGAATCCCTCATATCCAGACATGATTTTGATGTGTATATTTGAACTATTTGGGTGATATGTAAAGGATTTCAAATTTCTCTTTTTCAGAAATTTACTTTGGATAATTGCTTATGCTTATTTCACCCTAATGGCTTGTATTGGCGCAAAAAATGATGGGAATAAGAGGAAAAGAACAACTTTGGAGTTATCGCAAAAAGTGGAAATTTTAAACAGATTAGACACTGGTGAAAATTCATTGTAACTAATGGCTGAGTTCAACACAGGAATGTCAACATTGTATAAAAATTTTCCAAAGAAACTATTCTCTAGCATTCACATTGTCACAATGAACAAGGAAATAAAAAACATGATCGTCATGAAACCTGGACCGAAATTGAAAAAGTTATTGAAAAGTTGTCAGTTTTATGGAAAGAAGGCCAGCATTCAGCTATGACGATTGCAATAACACATACAGAGTTAAAAAATGTCAAGAACGAAAAAACAAAACAAAATCTAGAAAAAGTTGAGAATGACATCAGAAGAGAAAGAATCATCATGCAAAGGTGATTAAAAAAAATCCTTGTTACATTATTTGTTTTGCATACGCGGAATACTTAATTTAATAAATTTTCATTAACATTACGTAATTTATTTCTTTTTCATTAAAATCAATTCTGCTATATTTCACTTACCATTAGCTTATTTTGTTTACTATAAAACATTGAAAATAAATGTTAAACCTGATTTCAGTTCTTTTATTTTAAACTAAATATAACTCCTTATATCCAAACTTTGTAAACAATTCCTCAAATCTGGAAGACTTTCTTATGTCTTCATTTGAATATACTTTTTGCAAACAAGAAATGCATTATTTATATTCAGACTATTTTGAAATCTTTGTTGCTCTTGTTGTTACAACATTTCAGATGTTGTTGTGTTGTCCAACTTTCATCAGGTGTATATTGATCCAAGCCACCTACAAGGATTAAATAAAAGGTTCACTTTGGAATTTCCTGTAAGTTATGCAGATCGATATACACCTGTTGAAGGTCGGAGGAGACAATGGCTGAATTGTTGTGATAGCAACAATAAAGATGAAGACAATAGTTTGAATGTAAATAATGATAACTCCTCATCTCAGAAATTCAGACAGAAAAAATGTATTCAAATAAATGTTGTTTTTCTGACGATTTCATACAACTTGTCTTGTTTTCTTAAATAATTTTGAAATGATAAAGCAAAGAAAGTGAAACAGTAGCAATAGTGATATTATAAGCAGCAGTTGCCTATGTCCAGCAAACACACAAAGTAGAGCCCAATTTGCATCTGTAGTTACAGTACTTGCTTCCTGTAACAAAAAATCAGGTCAGCCCAATAAAAGACTGAGTTGGTTGTGTGTGGTGCTGTAAGCACCAGGAGTTGCATCCCCTTTGACAATGTGTTATTGAGAGAAGACCTTTTACTTAGAGCACCACATACAACCAACTCGGAGTCTTATCAGGCTTTTCTGTTGCACTTCCTTTCTGCTTGATTTAACATAATTACTAATGAAAACCAACTGACCAGAAAGAGACAAGAATTTTTATAAGATTTACACTTAAACGTTTCCAAAAGATAAATTCCCATAACAAGTTTTGAACATGTCAAAAAGGATTAAATTTGTTTTTCTCTAAGGCAGAGAGAGAGTAAAGAAGAGGAAAAGTTTCTACAAACCACTTACCATTTTGTAGATGGTGCTGATGGTGGTAGTGCATAGCGTACTTATGGTGGTACACTGCTCAATCACAGTTGTACTACTGCGGCGAAAATGCAATTTTGCTCGCCCCCAGTTTTTGAGCAGTCGGATCTTCTGAGATGGGGGTTCCGGACTAAGGATAATTTTAAACATGGTGGCCAGCGTTTCTTTTTCCAAGTGTACAGTGGAATGAAACAGAATCAAAGTCAAACCAGAATCAAGTATTTGAAGCACTTTGACCCAAATTAGGTTAAGTCTGGCATGCTTCGTTGGCAGTCATTCTCAGAAATATTAAGGAATGATCTTGGTGACAGTAAACTAAGACTTCCTGAAAGGAGACCGAATTGCCATAAATTATCGAGTTCAGTAAGAAGAGACATGTTGGGGGATTTATTTTGGCAATGTCTCTAATTTTTTAAATAAATTTTTCTTCCGATTTTTTTTTTTTTTTTGCAATAATTGAGATTGGGGAAATTTTTTAAAAATTCTATAAAATTATTCTTTCAGAGCTAAAAATCATAGGTCTTATTTAGTCCCTAATTCTAGGAAGAAAAAATGTTAGACTAAGTAAAATGAAAATAAATCATTTAGTTTAAATATGTTATTTTCCAGATTTTTATATAAACACAAAAACAAAAAAAGATTTTCAAACTTTTTTCTGGCAAGAATTATTTTTATTTTTTATACTTTTACCCATTTCAGAGTTGCAGATCTTTTAGAAACTGAAGTTCTTTCCTTATACGGCAGCCAATAGTTTAATTAAGTAAAAATCAAAATTCGGCGATATTAGAAGGCGTCTATTTTGAGACTGATAACACAATATCAGAGAGTGTCTGCAAATACATACAGACATGGCTATGACATCTTCATTGTTATGCACATCTATTTACTTACTTTAAATTGAGTGTGTCTATCACAAATAGTTTCATCCATGCGTCTCTTTCATAGAGTGAGTCTGCCTCTGTGCATCTATAAGCATTTTTACTGGTGTCTATCAATGATAGATTAAGTGTCTACATGAATATATATATATATATATATATATATATATATATATATATATATATATATATATATATATATATATGAGAGTATATAGGAAGTAATAAGAAATGGTTATCTTTTAGAACCATAAAGAGATAAGGAGAAAGAAAATCAACATATAGAAAAATTCCTGGAAGATATCATTTTCTCACTTACAGCAGTAGAAGAGGCTGCCACTCTGGTAAGAAATAAGGTAAGAACCTGCATGACGAAAATTAGTCGAAAGGTAAAGACCCTCTCTCAGAAAAATACTTTTCTGATTTTCTCTGCCAACCCAAAAAAAAAAATACACAAACAATGAACTTACTTATCTATCGACTTCTTTAATGGGGTTTCTTAATAAGATAGATTCATAAGTCATTAGGTATAAAATTGATGAATATTTAGAACTGGTTATTTTGCTACTTATTGGGAAACACATTCATTTTAAACATGTTTACTTTTATGTTGTTTAATTATACATAGAAATAAAATAAAATGTGATGAAAAAAATCTACAGTTTTTATGGCTATGTTAATTATATCTGCTTAATAATTGAAAAAAAAAAAATTATAAAAACATAAATTATTACAATCATTAACAGTGAAAAAATAATTCTTTCTAATTTTTAGATACTAATTACTAATTTATTTGTACATGCACCATCACAATTCAGTAGTTTCAGAAATCCTGTGGATAACACTTTTTTTCAGTAGATTTTAAAATTTGTACATAGATAGGTATTTTCTTTATGTACATCCTTTTTTTGTTTCCTTTCTCTGTCTCCATTCTGGGTAAGTTGGAAAGCAGTGGAGTCTTTTACTTTGATTCAAGAAATCATTTCAAAACTTTTGTTATTCTCAGAAAGTCCACCAGGGTTTTTTTTTTTCTTTTTTTAATTTTTAAAATTTTTTTTTAGTACTGATATGTCCTTTTTCTTTTATTTAATTTTCAAATTTTTGAAGGAATATTTTTTTTTTTATAAACATCTTTCCTTTCTCTAAAACAAAATATAATTTCCAAAAATTCAAGGTGTCAACCACAATGGCAGCAGCAGTAGGTATTTCCCCTCAAAGTTTTCAGGTTACGAAGGATGGAAAAGTGATGTTTGCAGCAACCTGTCCTGCCGAGTGACTAATTCCAATGCCAGAGATTTTGGTAACCAGAACAAATTCTGGTTTAGAGAATACACACATGGGTAGAATTTTGCAAATGGTCCATTACTGACATTCTCAGTTCATTACCCCCCTCCGACTTCAGTACAATACTACTGAACTACTAAATGAACGAACCCTTACTAATATGAGTACTATTATAAGTAATTCTACCTGACAAGAGCTCACATATCATTTGAAAGTATTTGCAAATTTGTGTAGGCAGGTAAGAGAATGAGTGACGTACAGGTGTGTTAATCTAACCAGGTGTGCATATGTGAGACAGAGTAACTACTTTGGAGGTGCGTGTGCCTGTGCACAGCAGAGAGAATCTACCCAGGTATGTGTATGCATCTACCTGGATATGAGAATAGTACTGAAGCAGGTATCAGTGGGTGGGGAAGAGAGAGAACAACAACTGAGACATATGCAAGCACCAGCTGAAGACTGTGTGTGTGCGTGTGTGTGTGTGCAGAAGCATCAGACCAGGTATCGCAGCTGAGTACAAATGAGAGAATAACCTATGCAGATGCATGTCAGAATGGCTGCAAGTGTGCATCAATCTTACTATACAAGTGTTCGAACCAAGGCTTCTATGAATGAGAAAAGTAGGCTTAAATGCATTTGACCAAAAATGTGCAACAATGCAATTAAATGGATGAGAGAGAGAGAGAGAGAGAGAACAGCTACTTAAATGTGCATTAGCACATTTGTATATGGATTGAACAGCGCCATGTAACATGCATTGATAAATTTGCAGGGAATATTTCTGAATAAAATAATAGCACAGAGACAAGAGTTAATTTGAATTGTGTATATTCCATTGGGGGGGTCATCAAGGGACATGGGTTTTGAGTGGACGTTTAATTAGCACTGATAAGCCGACCACTAAAATAAACACCTTTTATGATGGAATATGTGGAGGGGGGAGTGTATATATGTATTATATAGGTGAATGTACAAGTATGACAAGAGAGAGAGAGAAAGAAAAAGCACACGAGAGAGAGAGAGAGAGAAAAAGAAAAAGAGAGAGAGAGAGAGAGAAAAAAAAAGCAACGAGAGAGAGAGAGAGAGAGAGAAAAAAAGCACACGAGAGAGAGAGAGAAAAAAAAACACACGAGAGAGAGAGAAAGAGAAAAGAACAGAGAGAGAAAGAGAAAAGAACAGAGAGAGAAAGAGAAAAGAACAGAGAGAGAAAGAGAAAAGAACAGAGAGAGAAAGAGAAAAGAACAGAGAGAGAAAGAGAGAGAGAGAGAGAGAAGAAAAAAAGCACAGAGAGAGAGAGAGAGAGAAAGAAAAAGCACACGAGAGAGAGAAAGAAAAAGAACACGAGAGAGAGAAAGAAAAGAGAAGAGAAAGAAAAAGCACACGAGAGAGAGAGAGAAAGAAAAGCACACGAGAGAGAGAGAGAGAAAGAAAAAGCACACGAGAGAGAGAGAGAAAAGAAAAGGCACGAGAGAGAGAGAAAGAAAAAGCACACGAGAGAGAGAGAGAAAGAAAAAGCACACGAGAGAGAGAGAGAAAGAAAAAGCACACGAGAGAGAGAGAGAGAAAGAAAAAGCACACGAGAGAGAGAGAGAGAAAGAAAAAGCACACGAGAGAGAGAGAGAAAGAAAAGAAAAGCACACGAGAGAAAGAAAAAGCACACGAGAGAAAGAAAAAGCACACGAGAGAAAGAAAAAGCACACGAGAGAGAGAAAAAGCACACGAGAGAAAGAAAAAGCACACGAGAGAGAGAGAAAAAGCACACGAGAGAGAGAGAGAAAGCACACGAGAGAGAGAGAGAAAGCACCGGAGAGAGAGAGAGAGAAAGCACCGGAGAGAGAGAGAGAAAGCACCGGAGAGAGAGAGAGAGAGAAAGCACCGGAGAGAGAGAGAGAGAGAAAGCACCGAGAGAGAGAGAGAGAAAGCACCGAGAGAGAGAGAGAAAGCACCGGAGAGAGAGAGAGAGAAAGCACCGGAGAGAGAGAGAGAAAGCACCGGAGAGAGAGAGAAAGCACCAGAGAGAGAGAGAAAACGAGAGAGAGAGATGTAACTATCTGAAAGTACAAGTGTGAGAGAGAGAGAGAGATGTATCAATGCCCAGATGCAAAAGTATCTGTGTGGATATTGAAGTCAATACTTGCCCTGATGATTGCGTTTAGAAAAAAACTGACTGTCCCCTCTGGGTGTTAACTTTAATGTCCACTTTTATATTTACATACGCTCTATCGCTGATATTGGGCATTTTACCCAATAAATATAGCATACCTTAAAACTATATTTTAACACACACACACACACACACACAGTGTTTTAAGTGTCATTTTAGTATTGGATAAAAAACACTTTACAAGGATCTCAAATGTACCATACCAATAGATAATGATTATTCCATTCTAAGAATATCTTTGGGAAAATTTTTCGATGTGTAAACGATTTCCCATTCCCAAAGCCACTTTCTTTTCTCAAATCCAGCAGCAAGGCTTGTGATGAATTATTAGTTGCATTGAATAGCCAGACGGCCAAAGCTTCCACATGCTTCAATGGCATGTGTACAACCAACAGATGGTGTCCTCCCCCTAGACTGGTTGTTACTCAAGGATAGAGAACACAGTCAGCTCTGCTATTTAGCATAGCTGGAAGAGAGGTGTGGAATGATTTATGGCATTTTTTCACAACGTCAATGACAAACGAAGCAAGAGTGTCTGTCAGTATTTGAACTCAGATCATTGATTCCAATTTCCATATCAATAACTGTTACACTACTCTTACACATGTTAGGCACATGGCCTAGTAGTTAAAGTATTTGCTTTCTAACCATGAGATCGGGGTTCAAGTCTCACAATGCTTGATTTATCAGGGAGGTGATTCATGATGCTATCAGCCTGGGATGGCAATCCCAACAGGGGGGACCTTTGAAAAGTGTCTGTTAACCACAACTGTGTTAACCCAACACTTCCAAGGGAAATTAAGTAGACAGATGTTATTCATACTTATGTTAGCAAAGAGGCACAAGTCATTGTGACCGCGCATTTCAACATGTTGGCTTTTTTCAAAACTGCTGATTAGTAACCAGATTATATATGGACGATCAATAAACACAAGAATAACAAAATGTTTGGTGGATGTAACTCATTTTTAACAAAAACTACAAAAGAGAACTGAAAAGTTATCAGCCCTGCCAAGAAACCCTTAAATACAAATAAATGAATACACTAGATCCATCTTTTCTTACCTATAGGGGATACGTTCCAAGACAGCACCTCCCATCCCAATGGATAACAACTTTACATTCATACATAGTGCATAATTTTTGTCATCGTTTTGCTTTCTGCTATAAATTAAGCACAAAATAAGAAATTAACAATAACAACAAACAATAATAATATAAAACAATTATGACCAGGTATTTCCACTAATTTGCTGTTAAAAAAAAGGCATAGCCTGATGTAAAAAGGCCCCAAACTTGATAAAAGCAGTTTTATCATCAACATGTTTGTTATTATTAAGAGGAAAGACCAAAGTATTTTTTATTATTTTAAATCTTTTCTAGCATGTTTGAAATTTTGGTTAAATTATTTTTTCATCAAGAATGGAACAAAGATTACTAGAGGTATTTTAGCACCTTTTTTCTGGCAAAACAAAAAAAAACACACACTGATTTTAAAATTCTAGCAAAAATAAGATAATTGCTGGATTTTAAAGAAACTTTCAGGACTTATTCACAAATGAAAAAAAATTATTTTTGAAATTTTTTTTATTTTAGAAATTCTTGTTATGTGTGTGTGTGTGTGTGTGTGTGTGTGTGTGTGTGTATATATATATATATATATATATTATATACATACATACACACCCCTTTGTTACTCCCCCCCACATACACACCCCTTTGTTACTTCCCCCCCCCACATACACACACATATCATTTTATGAAATTTTAAGAAATTAAATTCTGATCACAAAATGTTTTTTTATTAATTAAAAGCAGGACTCCTTGGAGAATGTAAATCAATTTTTTTTTTCCAAACAGTTATACATTTCCTGAAAATCTGCTCAGAATTACAAATTAAAAAAATGCAATAAAATTGAGATTATTTAATTAGGAAAGTTTTTAATAAATAAGATATATTAAGAAAAAAAATATTCAATGAATAATGAATTTTTACAAAAATTGTCATTTTCATTTTAAATTTTTAATCTTTTAAATGTCTGGATTACTTTGTGTTAAGTGATATTTTTATTAAGTGAAAAATATATTTAGTGATCAAAAATTGAAAAGGTTCATACCGGTCTTCAAACTTTGAAATTTTTAAAAAGAATTTTTTTTATGAATATAAACGTGCCCATTTTGAAAATATGGTCAACCATACACAACATTATGTATAAGAAAATAAGAACAATGACTATAGGAAATTTAAAGTCAATATTCCTAAAATTAGATTACAGGGAATATTTTTCAACATTTTTAAGATTATTGAGTACTTAAAAAAATATATAAAAAAAGCGCTCACCTGTCATTTTCTTAAATTACGTTTTACAATAAAGTCTCCATAAAAGAAAAATCAATCAAGCTGTGTTAGCAGTGACGGATAATATGTATATTTATTAATATATACTTAATAGCTTGGTTATATTACATTAAACAGTGTTTTATTAACACCAGTTAATATATATATATATATATATATATATATATATATATTCATTGGGTCTGTCAGAAAGATCCACTCTTCTATTTGGAAATATTTTATAAGCCTTTTGTTTCGCTTTGAATTTTTAAGATCCTCCCATATTCTAATTAATTTACATAAAAATTAAGTCAACATTGTCAACACTAAACTGAGCTGCAACAGTCTGTTGCCAATCGGTGTTAACCTCAGTTCCCACTTTTGTATTTACATACACATACATTATATATATATATATATATATATATATATATATACACACACACACACACACACAGAGTACATCACTGACCAGCAATCCTCAGTTACCCTTTTGAAGAATGCACATTCTCTCATTAAGGGCTGTGACATACTTTCTGTTTGAACAGTCTAAAGCATACTAGATCAGATGTCTCTCCTACAAAGAAGACTATATTGAACCCTGCCATAGAATACATTTACTTGGTTAAGCCTCTTAAATGTACAGATTGAAAGACATAATTAACACTGTATAAAAAAACAACAAAAAACAGGATGTCTTTTCAAACATTGTGTGTGTGTGTGTATATATATATATATATATATATATATATATATATATATATATATGATAAAGAGAGAAAAGGAAAGACGAAAACAGTGATAGAAGTTATTACACACACACACACACACACACTTGTGCCATCATCTTTCCTTCTAGCAAATGAAACTCTTGAAATGCACCGAGTTGACTGCACTTTATAAATCCAAACCATAAGGAGATATAAGTAATATGTATGCACGTACACAAAACAGTCATCTATTTAGAAATTTACTGAAGTAAGAATATCAGCCGGCTTGGGGAGAAGTGGGGAATGGGAAGGACGCTGTGGAGGGAGTTTATCAGCAGAGAAGAATGAAGATGGTAATCACCTTCACTGTCATTTGTTTTTTCAGAAACACTTTTTACTATTCGTTGTTTTACCTGCACAAGCCACTCACCCACAACAGTCTGATACTGCTGGGTAAGAAGAGCAGGTAGGGCTTCTCCACTACCTGGTTACCACACCCACTTTCTCCTCTTTTGTCATCCTTTGCATCCAGCAGGTCGGGTGGTTGGAGCCAATCCTGCAGGCTGACTGGTGCTTTACAAACACCCACCTCCCTAGCAAGGTGGTTGGGGTGCCGAGAGAGAACGAGAGAAATTTGGGTGAGGCAAAGGTGACTTACATCATCCGAAAACATTAGTGCCCTTAGCAAACAGGATCCGAGAAAAAAGTTTGCAAAGTTTTGAAATACATTAATGATGCCCAAAGTCTGCATCCCCTGTGTTTAATACAGAAACTGACTTGTACTGAAAATACATCGACATTAGTCTATTATGAAAATATTAGAGTTGAGGTTTATGAAAAAGAAATGCATTTTTTGATGTGCGAGCGTATAGGCAATCAGATATGAACAGGTCAAGAAAGATAGACATTATCTACAAGTATATTCTTCTTTTTTATCTTCATCTGCCAAATCTTAACACTGTCAGATAAAAGAGCTTCCCAGGAATTTTATACAACATGAGAGCCACTTTCTTGCTTCAGGGAACAGTCATTACAGGATATTAAACTATTTAACAGTTTTACTTGTACAGCACGAATGTGGCCTTTGAACCTAGTTAGAGATCCACACACAATACCACAATGTTACTAACTTAGTTTCACTGTTCAGAAATAGTCAAACAAAAACTACATATGGCCTGATGATTGTGTTTAGCAAGAAACAGACAGTCCCTTCTGGGTGGCAACTTTAATGTCCACTTTTATAATTCCAAAGATTTTGAGCCCAAATAAGATGCAAAGTTAAGTTTAATTGGCAAAAATGTCTAATAAATAGAATTGACAATGTTGCCAATAGACAATGACAAACAAAAAGAACAGTGCAAAATAATACGAAGCAGACAATATGTGTGTGTGTCTGTGTGTGTGTGTGTGTCTGTGTGTGTGTGTGTGTGTCTGTGTGTGTGTGTGTGTGTGTGTGTGTGTGTGTGTGTGTGTGTGTGTGTGTGTGTGTGTGTGTGTGTGTGTGTGTGTGTGTGTGTGTGTGTGTGTGTCTGTGTGTGTGTGTGTGTGTGTAAGTCAAAACTAAGCAAAACGAGTAATATGGTAAAAATGTTTACAAAGTAAAAAAGGTGTTGACACGAGAAGGGATACAGTCAAATGATTGTAGGGTTCTGATTTCAAGACAAGAACAAAAATATGGCAGATGAGACTGAGAAGTGGTTCATTTTTATTGGTTAGAAAGAAATCTCAGTAGGCATCTGTAGAATGTCTATAAATTTGGGGAGTGGAAATGTTTTTAGCAGTCATTCCAGAGATTGGCACCCTTTACACTGCTTCCAAAGTAAATGCTTTGTTTGATTGCTTTTGTCAGGATAGAATATCAAAGCCACTTTAAGAGAAGCAATTCTTTGTTCAAACTGATAACGATTCTTCCAGGCACCTGATACAACTACAGAGGAGAAATTGTGAATGCTTGTATAGAACTCCAGGGTCTAGTTCATTTTTAATCTGCAGGTGTGACAAGACTCCAACTGCTTGTTAGAATCTATTCAGTTGTGGAGTGGAGGTGGTCAGAACAACCAGTATCAACTAACCTCTGCCCTTTTTATTTCAACCCTATTTCTAAGATCAATGAATATCTAAACTGTCAACCACTTTCCTAGATCAATGATTAAAAACGGCTTTGAGCAAGTGAAGTGTCAATGGGTTTTGGCAAAGATCATCCTTCTTTGAAAATGGTGGACTAGTGCTACAGAATCCCAAATAAAGAACTGTACCAAATAACAGAAACCACATCACTTGAGGATTATCAAGAGCAGAAGTAACTAAAATGGATAGCACACGTAACACAAAAAGAAAATAATGATATAAGCAAGATGCTGACATTGCCCATGACTTCAAATAAAACATTAGTAATAAAACTCCTGTCAATACTAGAAAGAGCAATAACAGCTACTGGACTTGAGGAACTTATTTTTTCAAGAGAAAGATTTTAGAAATTCTGACCAAAAGCAGTACTGGCTGCTTGGTCAATGAATGCCAAATGTTTCCTTGTAAGGAAATGGTTAATATTATCAATATCATATTTGAAATAGAAATCGAATAGACTTTTTCATTGTTCTTAATATTTTCCAATAATTTGAATTTCATAAATCATTAATGATGCCTGCTGTAAAGCAAAATTGAAATGTGGTGGGTTTATTGAATTCTTGATTCTGGGACAAATTGGATTGCAGGAAACATCTGAACACATGCAAAATGTCTGAATATTCTTTTTCTGTTATTTTGATATTAAGAAAAGAAGATTCAAAACTTTTGGAACAATCCACACACACACACACACACTTCTAAGGAATTAACCTGACAGTTTTATTATTTCAATCATTATTTTTAGTGAACACCCAGATTTGAAATGCCCCCACCCCATTCTTATTTTGAATAGTGTGTATATAATATAAGCTGTTTAAAATAAGAAAGGACAACTATTTCAAATACTGGGGAGGGGGGGTCACTAAATATGAGGTGGTGTGAGTCACTAAAAATGACAGCTGAAGTTCTACTTTTTACCTTCATATTTAACATTCTTTTCATGATTTCTGATTAAAGTTTAAATATAAATTGTCAAATGTCCAAGTACTTTTGGTTTTCAAAGAGTTTATTTTGTCAGTTTCATTGTTTTTCAAATATCAGCGTCTTTAAAAATCATGTCAGCTTTTTCATCTATCACTTCAGGTGGTTGTCACTTCCTTGCAAAATGAATTCAGTAACATTTCGTTGATGTCAAGTTGTTTGCTTTTTATGCATCATACTTTGAGGATTTGTAGCTGATTTTTCTTTTTCAGTTTGTGCTAGCAATTTTGTTATTGATAGGGATTTATTGGATTTCTTGTGCCAGTTAATGATATGCAAGTTAACTGAAATATCATAAGATAAATGGCAAGGTAATCACCATGATAATGTAGTAGTTGTGTAAACAAGGTATGTGTTAATTCACTTCAAAAATTTCTGAAGAAGTTAAATAGCAGAACATATTAAATTTATAAAGATTTTCTCACTTGGTTCTTAATCATACATTCCTTATTTTACTATAAACATATATTACACACAGACATGCATGCACACACACAGTGGTGAAATCGATCAATGATTTTCTAACTGAATTTCTGGGAAGAGGTATTACCATTTACAGTATTTATGTGTGAACTAATGTCCTCATCTTAGATGTCTGAAAGAATAACTGCATATGCTAGGCTATGAGAATCTCCTTAGTAGGCCTAGCATAGTAATAAATATAATATAGGAACCATTAATAAAAAAAAGACAAATGACAGCAAGGCTTCAACAGCAGCAGCAGCTGTAAGAAAAGAGAAAAGTTCAGTGAGGGCAGCCAAGCATGACAAGCAGCAACTGGAGTAATTAGCAGGCAGGCTAAGTTTAAGGTTCCAAGTTCTCTATATAGAATTGTCGGACAATAGCTTAGTGGACTCATAGTAATTGTGATTTCAATCCCTGTGCCAGTCAGTGAGTGTTTGGATTCAGTAGAAACAAGTAGGACAAGTAATAACTGATCAGAACTGAAATTAAGAACTAAACAAGATATCCCAAAACATGAGCAGTGAAATGAGAACAGTCTATCTCTTCAGATTGATAACCTCCTGATGAAAACTGGAGGGTACAATGGCCGAAAAATTGTGACAATAACAACAAAGATGAAGACAAGAGTCTGAATGTAAATAGTGTAAATAAAAGTTCACTATTTCAGCCACATCTTAAATGACCAAAACAAATCCAGAGTACATTTTCTCGTAATTTCCTTCTTTTATTCAAACCATCACATAGTTTGAGTCATCATGAGTAAATGAAAGACTTTTTGGTTTACTAGTTATTTAGTCAGTTGCAGCCAAAGCAATATTTGCTGCTTACCATTTGTGAGCAGCTTCTCCAAAGACTGTCATCTGAAACTTCCTTACATGGAAAAGGACAATACACTCATCAGTGAAAAGCTTGGAGGGGATTGGCATTGCAAAATAAGAATTTGCATGCATTGCAAACAACTTACAGAGGGTCACAATGAGAATAAGGATTGAAGATGCTTCCCCACCCTGCTGAAGAATTAGTAATAAAATCTCAAAAAGTATGTGGCAAACACATCAGTACAGACGCAAAAGAGGCCTTGGATTACATGAGGACATGTTTGCTAACACCAGTTATATCTGGGTTTTCCACCTGTTAGCAGCAGGACAGTTTAGCTTGTCTAGCTAGAAATGGGCCTGTCTGCAACTGGTCAAGATCTGGGTCTTTGTAAGATGTCTCATGTGAATAAAAGCAGAGGGAAAACCAGGAGTTGGCAAGACATGGTGTCTTATGAAGTCAATCCTGTGGGCATTTTTGTTTCCCCAAGTTTCCAAGGAAGTATTATTTTTGTTACCAACCCCGTCTTGTTCCCTTCTCTGCCTATTACCCTCCCCATCGTTGCCGAGAGAGTTAGGTGTTTCCTCCAACCGGAACACACTTGCTTTACATTACTACAAAATATCAAATGACAATGACCACATCCAAATATGGATCATCAGGCCGTAAAATGGGATTACAATATTTTTGCATATTATTTCATGTATAAAGTAAATAAGTTGGTTGATTTTGTTTACATACATTCACTTAAAAACAATGACAGGTTACACTTGCTAAATTTTTAAAATAAGCTTTAAGGATTGTATTAGATCTTAACATTATTAGATCTTGATGCCTACATGAATTTAAGTGCATTACCAGATTGGCTATTAAGTCTCACTGTTTTACTGTTGAAATAGCTAAATGGAACACTATTCTAACATTTTCTTTTCTCGCACTTTTTTGTGGACTCTCTTTCTTGCTTTCCTGTTACCTACAATCTTCAAAAGTTGAAATGCAACACCAAAAGCCATCTTCTGTCTCTCTAAATACTGTTCTTTTATTGTCCTGTCTCCTCATTAAAGTCTTCTCATTCTCTTTCATTCTTACTAACCCTGTGCTTATTAGTGGCATTATTGACTTGCTTAGGTGTGAAAGAATTTAAAAATAAAAAGAAAAAAAGATCTAAAATGTCAAACAAAATTTATAAGACTTGTTAAAATTAGACTGAATTTATTTTTATGGTTGTTTTAATAGTTAAAGGTTATTTTTAGCAGTTTTGGCTAATGGTTATTTTAATGGTTA